AAATTTCAAATAGAACACTAATATATGAAAGATCATAAATAAATATACACAAAGTGAAATATATTAAAAAATATATAATTTTAACGATATATCACTTAATAATTCACTGATAAAAATCGATAAAGAAATAAGAAAAAATAAAAAACTGCTCTAAAATTAAACTTATAATTCTATATGTAAAACACACATACACAAGTTTAATTGCAATCGTAAATTCCAACAGGTGTCGCTTTATCATGTTCTGAAACAATGATAAATCTATAATATTGATACCTTACTCATTCATTAAGATTATATATATATATATGTATGTTTTTTAAATAAAATTAAAATTCAATATAAAAATATTAAAAAATTTCTATACAAGAAATAATTTTTAAAAATATTTAAAATGTATTTTACAAAATTATAACTTTATTCTGATTATTACTTAAAACTATTATTATTTAGAAACTAATAATAATATAAAATCATATTAGTATTAATAATATTATAATAATTAATAAAAATATTTATCAAATTTAATTTATGATCAAATTATATTAGAAAAAATATAGAACATAATAACGGTTATTTTATTGGTTCAATTATATATTTCATTGGTTCGATTCATCTTCATTTGTGTTTCGAAATTATTGTAATTTTAATAGAAATAAGTGTTTATTAAATTGATATTAGTTACTATTTGTTAATATGTTTCATGATGGTCAATAAATATAAAGATACTAATATGTGTCCTTGAGTAAGTATATTAAATACATAAATATATGACATATTCATGATTGGTAAAATGGAAAAATTATATCAATAAATATGTATTTTCATAATTATAATTTTATTAGAGAAATTAATAAAAAGCATGGAGGATGACATCGATATTTATGAAGACTTACCAAGTTTTAGAACAGAGTTTAATGAAAACGTAAGTGTTATAAAATATAATACTATTTATGATTAGGTTAAGTACACATTATACATAATTTGTTTAAAAATTTCAGTTTGTAACAAATAATGAAGAAAATATTGTGGATGAACATCTAAAATTAAAAAAACAAATTACAGAACTAAAAACAAGATTGGAAAATTTTCAAAAGATTAATGAAAATTTAGAAATTAATTTATTTTCATTATTGAAAACTGCAAAAGCAGAAATTGCACGAAAAGATAAAATGATAGATCAGTTAAGAAAAAAGTAAGTAAATGGAAATATTGATAATTTTAAAAATATTTATTAAATTCTGATATATTTATTACAGATTAGATGATGCAACATTCAAAAGAGATAAATATTCTAAAACTAATGATTGTATCATTCATAAATCTACTTTTCGAGAAACCATTGTAAATACACATCATAAATCAACTGATATTTATTTTCCTCCAAATGAAAAAGATATTGAAACATTGGTAGAAGGTTATTCATGTAATCAAACCAAAAATCAACGCAACAAATCTGCTTTAATTCCTATCACTGTTTTTGGTGAGCGATTAGTTAAAAGAATGACCGATGAACAGAATTTAGAAAAAAAAGACAAGCAATCAAATAAACTAAATAATAGTAATAATGAACATAGAAGTAACAAAAGTTATATAGTTAAAAATAATAAAGAAAATGGTTTTTTAAATGATACTAATTCTTATATTACAAAAGAAACTGAATCTTCAATTGTTCAAGATAAAGAAATTGAATATAGGACAAAATCTTCATCAAGAAATATGATAAAAGATACTGATTTAAATGATAAAGATGATAAAAATGAAAACTCTAGACTTCTGCAAAAAACAATACACATGTCAATGCGAAAAAGAACAAATGAAGAAATAAACAAAGATATTCCTATAAAACGAATAAAATCTACTAGAGAAAGATATTGTTTTGAAACAATGAGAAAAAACGGAAAAAAAGAAACAAATAATATAATTTCTGAATCCAAGGAAAAATCTACATTTCCTCTGTATAATAATTTTGAATCTTCCACTCATTTTAATGAAAAGCAACATAATGTAAAAAATGTTACTATAGGATGTACTCATAATTCAAGGATCGAATTGAAAAAACATGAAAATTTGATTGATAATATAAATAAAGACAATGAAAGAAAGAATAAAAAAAGAAATGAAAAAAAAAATGCTAATGAACATTCTACAAAACAGCATATAAAATCTACTCAAAATTCAACATTTACTTTAGATGAAAAAAATATAGGTTATCGTTGCATTGAAGTTTTTGAAAAGGATAATTATCGATCTAGTCATAGTAAACATCATAGAGATAGACAAAGAGGATATCATCATATTGACAATCATCGATCACGTGTAAAATCAACAGCATATATAAAATCGAGTCGAGTAAATCGAGAAGAGAAATTTAATAAAAATCAATATAATAATATAAAATATCGAAGTAAAAACATTGAAAATATAGAAAATATTGAAAAATTTATTTCTGATTCTTCTTTATCTTGTAAAAAAATATCTACATCAAATACTATTCATGCATTAAATGATTCACAATCAAATTCAATAGAAAAAAAAGAAAGTATTAATATTTTAAATGATTTTCGTAATTATAAAGAAGATTTAGAAACATATTTGCCAGTCCCAAATATTAATGAAATTCTTCTGTTTGATAAAAATCAAACAAATAAGGAAATAATATCTAATGAAAAGTTACCAAATACATCTATCTTACATATTTCTGAAAATAATTTTATCAAAAATAAAAATATTGAAACACAAATAAAAAAAATGATACCTTCAAAAGATATAAAAAATATATTACAAGACAATAAAGATATTGAATTAAATTTTATTAAATTAATGGAAAATAATTATCTTCCTAATAATATAAAACAACAGGCATTGAGCCAAATGGAGATGATAGATCATTCATTAAAAAATACTGTAAAAGATAATGTTCTTCAAAATTCTTGTACTCATTCTACCATTCTTTTTAAATCACCCAAAGAAATAATTGAAATACAAACAGAAAAAATATCTTCAAAAGATATAAGAAATTTATTACAAAATAATAAATCAATTGAATTAAATTCTATAGAATCGAAAGATAATTATTTCTCTGATAATTCAAAGAAACGGACATTAAATCAGAAAACAATAGATCATTCATTGGAAAATACTGTAAAAAACAATGTTTTTCAAAATTTTTGTTCTCATTCTACTGTTGTTCTTAAACCATCTAAAGAAGCGGATAAGGAAAAAAATAATTATATTAGTATAACTACTATTAATGGCATTGAGAATGATATTGGAAACAATCATAACAATTATTACAATGATTATGATAAATATAAAACTAATCAAAACAATTCTGAAAATGTTAAAACGACAATGAAAACAGAATATGAAAATACAATAGATGTCATAACAGAAGTAACACAAGAAAAAGAATGTGTTAAATATATAGCAAAAACAGAAGAAGTAGAATTAAAAGAATTTAGAAAACCACTACAAAAAATTGTAAATAATAATAAAAACACAAGAGTTACATCAATGAATATTCATGGAAAAATAATTGTGTTTGCACGACGCAAAAAACCTGTATGTTTGGCAAACAGCAATGCAAACATGACTGTTCTTATAAACAATAAATATAATATAAATGTCGATTTGCCAAGTACAAAAACAACATGAATAACCAAATATGACATAACTAATACAAATTAATTGATAGTAAAAAATGGACAGAAATTATAATAATAGAAGTTAACAACAACAACAACAACAACAACAACAAACTACGACGACAACGATGACGACATAACACAACAATAATAATAATGATGATGATGATAATGATAATAATAATAAAAAATTATGTCAATATAACATACTAAATAATAATAATAGTAATATTACAAATATTACTATTACTACTACTACTACTACTATTACTACTATTACTACTACTACTACTACTACTACTACTATTACTACTACTACTACTACTACTAC